TGAACAGGAGAGCTGTCAGCTCATGGTCTTATGAGCTGTGTATTTCTCTCAGCAATTAACTCATAATTGCATGTAGATTTACCATTGTCAATTATATTTGAATTAATGTATACTCTCCATTTCGTGGGGTTCTGATATGTCCCGCACTTTGGAACGTCCCATCTTCTACCCTTTCCCTCCATTGGAAGCTGATACCAGGCAGAGCTCAAACCCAAAAGTACCTTCTTGGAAAATAAAAAGACCGAGGAGACAATTCCCACATGATTCATGGATGACATGTCTATTAATCATAAGAAAGGATTGTAATCATAAGTAGAGTTTCTCGTTAGATCATAAACTCTGAAGCAAAAAGTATGTATTTTAAAGTTTCTCTTTAAGACTGTCAATACCTATTCGTCAAGATAGCTTAGATTTCTTAGATAACAAGTTATCAGGTTGAATCTTTAAGCAAGTACATATTTAAATAAAGTATTACTTATGATCTCAGTTCAGGTTTGTGTTTGTGGGGAAATATAATAATTGGTCTATCTTCTAAAAATTTAAATTCATGTTTATGGGTAGTTTTGTTTCTGTAGACCCCAAGTTTACTACTCTACCTTATTAATCTTTAGGGAGAAAAACAGGTCCTGGAAAGAGGAACTGAAAAGGTTTTAGTTACGCAGAATGGAAAGAAGTAGAGATGCAAGGGTTCTGGTCTACCTAACTTGGAGAAATGGATTTCAGTTTTCTGAGTATTTCTACACACAGTCTCGGGCATTCACTGCCTAGGTCGAGTGCATGTTAGTAGTGGAATCTGGGCTCTTCATCTATAGTCTTAGATTTTACACACCTCATAAAAGTTAACTGAAAGACAGACCTAGAAGGAATCTTAGAAACATCTTTTGAGGGTGTCAACCTACTTATCTAAAGAGAGGAAACCAGTGGCCGGAATCAGAAGAGACGATCATGGTCATGCAGCCTCGTTAGCAACAGTGATGCGACCTAGAGCTGAACATGGAAGGCTCAGTGACTCTCCTCACTGCATCAATGTTGTGCTTGAGCCAAAAGTCAGAAAAGAAACCCGGTTCAGTGCAGTACACACAAGGCTTTCATCCATGGAAAATTGGGGATATCAATTCAAGGTTATTTCTACTTTTCCATCTATGTGCAGAGCTTCAAAGTGCACATCTTGTCCTCTGCAGGGCTTGGCATACAATCCAGTGTCATTCAAGAAAGCATCAACATTTTGTTTCAGAATGGAAAGTTTTGAGTCATGGGCTGGCAGCCTTATCTCCAATCACACTTAGGCAAAGTGACTGACACTATTCATTTTAGTTCTGCGATGATTCAATTAAACTACGCACAGAAATCTCTGCACATTTTGCTGGTTAGTCTTTAGGTCATTCTATCATCCTTTTTCTGGCTGTTCTTTTCTTTATCTCTCCATTTAGTTAAAAGAAATCCATTTAAGGTAAAATTCACTTTCCAATCAATCCACTTTTCTTCCAAAATGAAGGCTTTTTTTTTTTAAAAAAGTAAAGAAAGGCACTTTGTAAAATATACAGATCTGTTTCTTTCTTGTCTGTGTTAGATTGAAGTTGCTGAAGGCAGGCCGAGTCATTTTGCAAATGATGGGACAGCAGAGGGAAGCCGAATTTAAAAAAAATAAATGAGAAAGAAAGGATCTAGGTTTCTGTCCAGACAGACTTTCCCCTGGAGCTCAGGTTCTTCGGTGGTGCATTAACTGACGATTCACCAATCCTCTTGGATCATGTCAAGCAAAGCCTCTCCCAGGTTTGAGCTTACATATGCAGCAAGAGCTTGGCTGCTTCCCATCAAACGAGTTTACAATGAATCATTGACCTACAACTGATTACCAGAACTGGTCTCAGGCACTTAGGAGAATGTATCATCTATTAAAAATCAGTGACACAGCCGATGGCAAGTTGTGCTCATATTAAAAGTTCTTTCTATGCATTTCGTAAAAACCTATCATAGACTATTTTGCCATTTGTGTCTGAAAGTTCCATCAATCATCCACGGGATGTATTCAGTTTCCATGTACTTCATAACATGAGTTCTTATGCAGTTGCTTACAAAACTACGTATTTTTTTGTGGTTCAGAGCATAAGTTTCTTTAATCTACATGTGCAATGGTTATTCACAAAATATGATGGTGGGAAAACAGCCAACAACCAAATACAAGAACAGAGATCTGAGGCTCTTGGCTCCATGCAGGAGTGAGCATGACTTGACACATTAAAAGTAATTTTTCTAAAGACCAGTGTCTCATTTTCGGTGTCTAATCTCTGCACACATATTTGCGCATAATCTTAAAGGCTGACCTATACCGTGGACGTGCAATGTATGAAGACAGACAGGTCCTGAGATTTGAAAGGGTGAAGAAGAAACGAGCACATCGGTGAAGGTGACTGCATCTCTAGAACTGTCTCACAACCTAAGCAAGATGCCAGCCATCGGTTCCAATTACTTAGTGAGTCACAGAGTCAAGGCTGCTGGCTATTCGTCCAATATAGTCAGGAAAACTGAAATCCAGAATAGGCAATTGGACTTTCCAAGGCATAGCAGGACTAGAACCCAGGTGTCTTGACTCCTAGTATTCATTCTGTCGCTCAAGCAGCTGTCTTTTAACAGAAAACATTTTATCATAAAGATTCTAATAAACAAGTAGATCTATAGATTTTCTTTTATTTCATGGACATAGATATTTGTTGGATGAGATTTGTCTGTAGACAGTCATATTTTTCATCTATGCAAAATTATATATCAGAAGCAGATTTTTAAATTTCAAACTATGAGTAGCACATGCACTATCAGTACTATAGTGGTCATAATTTGTAAATAAATGTATATATTTATCTTCTGGAGAAGAACAGACTATGTTGGGAAAGGCTTAGTTTGTACTGGTTTTGAAGTTTCTTTGTCAGTAGTTTTCAAGGTGAACTAGACTCGTTGGCCCTCTTGGAAGGTGTGTGCATTTTGCATGTCATTCTCTCATGTGACTTCATATAAACATCATCATTATGTAAATCTTAAATCACTAACAGTTTTGTTCATGCTTTCTCTTTACATACAGTGTTGCTGTTTTCAAATTAAATAGACTTGCTCCATACTTTCCAAGAGAGGGGGAAAAAAACCTCTCAGGGAAATGGTCGTAGAAAACACTGCTTCTCCAGATTGAGTGTGCACGTGAGTTATCTTGGCATTTAGCAAAATGCAGACTCCAATTCCATATGTCTTCGATGAGACTTGAGATGCTGAAAACAACATTTCCAAGTAGTGCCAAAGCAACTGGTCCTCAGACATTCATCATGGAGGATCCAGGGCACTGAATGAGCCTGAACAACGTTGCCAAATGCTTCTGTTGTCCACAAGATGCTTATGTATTGAGAAAATAGGCTTCAGGGGTTGCATTTGCAGTTCAGAAAAGGGTTGGCTGTATGTTCACTCTCAGGCATCAAGGAATCTCTGAGTGCAGTTTCTACCAATATGTGCTTGTTGGATGAACTTCACAAGAGGTGCAGTTCAGAGTCTCTATATCCTGTTAGTGAATAGACAGAGAATTACTTGCCAGTAAGTGAGAGGAGAGGAAAGGGGAGACAGACTGCAGCAGATGAGTCCTGGGTACTCCTAGTAAGGTGGAGCTAGAAGGTTGCGAGCCTTCTCAGGAAGCCTGCCCCTGCAGTTGTCTTGCGGATTCTCCATCTCCTGACCTTTGAAGTTCTTGTTATCACTAACAGCTGCTTGATTTCCTAGAACTTCTAGCTGGACGTTCTTGACGTGAGCACAGCCTCTGCCAAGAGTTTGCGAATGCGTTTATTCCAGAGAGATCTTGACTTTCGGTTTTGCTTAAAATCCTTTTGTGTTCAGAATTTCTCAGAAAAAAAAAGTAAATAAAACAAAGCCAATTCTCTGTCTTGGAAACTATGCTAGCGGTCACTACTTTCCACTTTCATGGTTCATAAAAGTCACCCATAGGTGGGCAGAGCCCTAAGTTCATGGGAGAAATATTTTAGGTCTAGAGTCCTAAAACCCTAATAGAGATGGCTCCTATTTAAAGTGTCCTGGAGATAAAAAAAAATCAGATAAATGGTACTATTTTGTACCTATTTAAATTTTTCATTCACTTCACATTCTTAAGTGGGAAAGGGGTTGGCCTGACATTTCTCTCTGACATGGTCTGCATATACTATATATACTTTAAATACCCATTATAACCTTGCAGCAGAAATGACTGCCCCCACTTGAAGACGTAAACAGCAGTACTGGGAAGTTAGAAAATAGTCTTTACTTTACCTAAGCGATAGAAAAATAGTCTTCAAAAATACAGTGCTAAACTTACGGGTTTGTATTAAAGCAAAATTGTATATACAGTAAGGCAACACTTCTACTACCACCCTGCAATAATTACCGGTTAGATTAAAATTAGTCTTTGGGAGTCTGTTTTCTACTAAGAAAATACTAGGGTGTATAACAAATCATCTGTCCTGCTGAAATGAAGCAAGGAAAACATTTGAAAATGGTTCATCACATGAAATTCATTGGCCTTATCTTGTAAGAAAATTCTATTCCCCCAAACTATACACTCTAGAGGCCTTAGAAAGAAATAACATTTAGGCAGGATAAACCATTTTTGACACACTCAAATTACTTTAAGAACAAAAAGGGAGGCCTGATTTCATTTGCATACAGGCAAAGGGTCAGGCAGGCATAGGGACTGTTGTAAACAATTTGGCTGGTGTCCTGGAATGTGTCCTTTCAGAAAAGGGTTATACTTGGACCATCCGAATTAAATGAAGGAGGAGTGTAAAGGCTTAGCCATCCGTTTTGAAAAGCTCTTTTATGGCCTTTTCAACATCATCTTACGCTAAGTTATTTTGACTGTTTATACGTCTACCACAAGCCAAATCTATTGCAGAGGCTATACCTGTTGGCACCATCCCTCAAGAATGGCAAACAATGTGCTTTTATTTCATTGAACACATTATATATATACATATGTACGCATATATATGTACATATATATTACTAATAGCAAAGAGCAAGTCTGTGAATCACAGCATACACGATCGATTGTTCTGGAAACCAGCTGCTGAGGGGAGGAAGGTGCTGAAATGGGAGCATGTAAAGGAGTGAAGTAGTGTGTTATTTTACCCACATCCTGAAACATCTGCTAGCAGACCACGCTGTTCCATGACTCTGTAGTGTTACCTGAAGAGAAATCACATTTTAGCCAATCGTTCCACGAGTCTAGCTATCAGTGAAAGGAGTGCATGAAGCATGTAGGATCCAGGTAATCCAACCTGCCCAGTTGGAGTCTGAAGTTGCTTGAGGTTGCAGCCAAGCTGGCCAGATCTTTCTCAGACTGATTCTGTTCGAGCGATGGTGGAGCCTTCTTGGCTGAATCCCCACACAAAGCTGTGTTCTGAGCTCGTGAATCTGGCACTAACACCAGGATGTTGTCATCCACAACCCCAGACACCTTGGCGTACTCCTTGCTGGTTTCAGGAACCCCGGGCTTCTCCATCTGGTTGTTTCCTTTCTGTTTGGGGAACAACGATAGTACTCCATCTTTGTTGACTTTGTGAATCTCCACATAATCTGGGGGTTTAGCGTAGACAATGGAGCCTTTCTCCTGGAGCAGGGGCCATGATGCGTTTTGTTTAGTTTTAGAACGGAAGCTTTTCATCTCCTCGTGCTCCGCCACCTCTTCTTCCTCTTCAGTCTCAAGGGTTTTAGAGAATTTTAGAAGATGTTTTCCTGCTTGGTCCAGGAAAGAGGCGAGCGTGTCTACAGGACCTCCAGCGAGCTTGCACACGTCAGCAGTGCTGTGATAAGGAGACCTGGTCATGTGTTGGCCTGGCAGCAAAGGCCATGTTGAAGATTTGGATACATCTGCGTGAAAATAGGGGACGCTGCTTTGGTGGTCCTGGGCGGGAGGGATATTTGCTTCAGGATTCTCTGGCTTCTCAATGATCTCAGGAATGTGGAAAGTAGGTGGGTAGGCCTGGGGCTCCTCACACTTTTCAGACAGAAGAGAATGGCTGTCATAGCTTCCGTGACCCGAGTCACTGTCGGGGTCTAGATGCGTGGGTTTCCCACCTTGGCCTGGGTACTCTTTGGAACGGGAGGGCATTAGCTGTTCGTCCTCATTGTCATCCACCTCTAAGAACTCCACCAGCAAGTCCTCAGAGTCAGAAGTGGGGGGGAAGTCTTGGCATCCTAAGGCACTCAGGAGTTCTTCAGACTTGCCCTTCTATTGAAACACAGACACAAGGAGAGATGGCTGTTAGCTGCAGCGCACGCCACCCTTGGCCTCACAGCTGAGTGGTATCTGAGCAGAGTAAAGGGGCTTTGCTCCTGGGGCCGCAGCCAGGCCGTATCTTGCTTAGTCTTGGAATGGAAGTTTTCCACCTCCTACTGCTCAGCAGCAGGGTCTGTGAGGAGTCTCACAGTATCCCGCCCCCAGACTGCAGACATGTAGGTCAGGTCATCTACAAGTACCTTTTGGGTCCTATTCACCAAATTACGTTTCTTTAATCTTTCATGATTTTTCTTTGTCTCTAATAGTGGCCATGAACTCCATGGGTAAGTACTATATGTATGATAAACATAGAACTATGAAACCAAAGTGTCTTGTGAAACATTTGTAGTCGTAGTGTCTGTGTATACTCCTGACTGGTACTCACTGGCAGAGTAGTTGTGAGATGTGGTGGCTGGCCTCCTAATCTCCTCTACCACCTTCTGGAGTTTGGTGACAGTGGATTGGTCTTGTCTCTGGCTTCTCCTACCACCCCATTTCCTTCCCCTTTCCCTCCTCTTACTATTTTCCATCTCTCTTTTCCTTTCTCTTCTGATCCAATTTTTCTATTCTTTATTTCTTTCATCTCCTACCTCCTCCTCTCTCTTCCTCCTATTCCACATTCTCTGTCTCTCTCTCCCTATTTTTCTCTTTCCTCATCCAGTCTCTTTTTACTTCTCCTCTTCTCCCAAGTCCTCTGGCTTAGGTCATGTGCCTAAGGCTTGGCTTTTATCCCTTACCAGGTAGATATGACTTTGCATAGGTTGCTCGCCAATTTTATAATGGGAATAATATCATTTATCTCTCAGGGTTCTTATGAAGTGTAGAGATAAGGCAAGAAAGAATACAAACAGTATAACCATAGAGTAACCATTTATCATTAGGTCTCTGTGGCTAGCAGGTTGAGCTATGAGATAGATACTGGGTAACTTGCTTAGCTGAGACATTACTGTTGGCTTTGTAAAGGTCAATAGTAGACTGAACAGTGGGTAAGACCCCCTGGACCAGAAACCTAAACTCCTTAGCTCTAGTCCTTGTAGTTACAATCAAAGTGATTTTGAAAGACAAATCAAATTCACTTTCCACATTCTTATAAGCCTAATACGCAATCACATCAATCGGCATTTACTTTTATATACAGGTAATGGCTTTTCTCCACATTACTGTTAAGGTCAGATTGAAACTATACATTTCAACCCAGAAAGAAATGCTTTAATTCTGTCTCAAATCAGTCTAGTGTGCTTTGGGAAACACAGGCCCAGAGAGTACTGATCTACTGACCACTCAAATGAGAGCACAGGGACAATGGAAAATTCTGGCACAGTGGCTTTGTAAAGAACATTGAAATGGAAGCTTGGACTCATGTGTAAGGGAGACGGTGGTAGTGAGCATTAGTTAAAATATCTGCTCTCTCTCTCTAAATTCATTATTTGAACAAAACGGTCATCTCTGTCTTCAGGAGCAGCCCTGGGTCATGTAACATGCCTCCCCATGAGTTTGGAGGCCTCCGAGCTGTCTCTCTCTGCTCTGTGACTTTTAGAATGTGATGATGAACACAGTCATCCCAAACACTTTCTTCTGTTCATATACATGCTGATGAGAAGGGGCGACTGGAAAGGGATGAGGGCCAGGTTGAACTGATGAGGACTGAGCGGGCATATGCAAACCTAATTACCATCGAGCAGTGAGTCACATCACTCTCTCTGTTTCTGACACTCACCTCCAGCAGATGAGTATCAAATCCTTTTATTTTTGGCCCGGGAACTGGTGGAAAGATGCAGGTCATCATGCTATAAAACAATTTGTGAGACAATGAGGACAAATGTCTCATATTTCATTATAATATTTGAAAAAGATTCCCGCCCCCCTCTCCCAGTTCTCAAACAGTTGATGCTTGGGTTGAATTCTAGGGCTGTATTAAAGTAGCGGTAAAGGCCAGCGGCAGTGGTAGAGACATACACTACACCTTTGCTGGCTAATTTTGAATGCTAATTTCAAGCTACTGGCTTATTTGTTCCATTTGATTCTTTCAGTGTTAACTGCTTTCGCCAGATTTCTACAATTTTACAGCTCCAAACCCCTATTTTATAGAAAGAACACTAGATTCAAAAAGTATATTTTTAATATTCTTTTTAAAAACCCATTGATAACAGATTACTTTTTTGTACTAGAAGAAGTACTAGCACTAATGGATAAATAGGTACTTAGGCTGTCTGCTGGTTTTCGTCATCTTTCTATCGGTGTTTTTTGTCATTATTTCAGATAATAATGCCTGAGAGAAGAGTGGGGAGACAGTATAGTACCTATAGCCTTTCAAAGCTACTGCCCAGACCGTAATCAAACAGACGACAGCAGAGAGAATGGCCACAATGATCCACACGGTTGTATCTTTTAGGGTGAAGTCTAAAAAACAAACAGCCAGAGAGCTTTGATCACGTATAATATCAACATTAAAAAACCAACTAGCCAACCAAAATAACCCATGCAAATTTGGGCTCAAGATTTTGTCTTCCCGCTTGTGCTTCTTGACTTGAAAAGCAATTCGTCAACAGAAGGTACATATAAGATAGATAGGAAGGTCAGATCAGAATGAATGACCAGTGAGTCCTTGGAGGACATTCCAGATTTATACCTGTAACTTCATTCTAGAAACTGATGTTTGGCAACTATGAGTCAGGCAGTAATACAGCTCTTCCAAATGTCTTTTTGTTAGGTTAAGAGATGATAATCACATATCTATCTACTTTTTTAGATAGGGCTCAAAATAGTTTCTGTATTATTAGTAGCTATTACGTGCAGTTTTATTGCTATATAAACATAGGGGAAAGTATAGTCAAAACACTCACCACTGGGTATTTCAATGGAATTCTCTTGGCCCCACCTACTCCAGTATCCATGGTCTGGCTTGCAGCGAGTCTGGACAAAGTATTTTTGTCCTGGATATAAGTCAAAAACCTTAAAGTGCGTTTGCTGCCCTGTAAAATGGTTCTAAGGAAGAACAAGAGAAACAGAGGTCACCTATGACTTTTGTTATGAGAAAATAGGTGTTTCTTTCACATAAGTTAATGGGGAGTTAGACATGGCTATGCTTAGAGGATGCCTTATTCTCATTGCTCTGTTCTATTCTTTCCTTCTTGAAATTTTCTCATAAAAATTTTCTCATGAAAATAAAAAAGGTTTTCGATGTCTCTATTTGGAACTCTATTTCAGAAAGACAATTAATTGCCACCCCTCCCCACTTTATTTAGTGAAAGTAAATCAGCCAACAAATTAGACGTACATATAAGAGATGATAAAATTATTAGTTTACAAATTCCAATGAAGTAATTGATTTAAAGGATTATTAGTTGGTGTAAAAACTACTAGGTGGAAGGAATCCAAATCTTCACGTATGTTGAACAAAGAAAACGTTATTTAGCAAGGAAGCCATCAGGTTTCTACCTTCCTAGTCTAGGACTCAGATTTAGTATCAATTATATGAGGTCGATCAGATGACTTGATGATGTTGATGATAAAGAATATAGTACAAAGTTCATATTACTTATAGAGCATGTTGCACTACATGTATTCCCCCTGAATCTACTCAAGCCCTGAAATCTAAAGTATGATTGCCAAAATATTAGCTAAGTGAATATACAAAAAAATAATAAAAGGTGAAGACTGTGGGACTTCCTTCTGAACAAGTCTCTTCTCACTACATCAAAAATGTCTTGGAGTAGACTTAGTTTGGATTAACCAGCTATTAAAGATATATATATATATATATATTTTAGGAAACTGAGACAGAGAGGATTAAAATATAGACTACTTTATTTTCTTTAGGAATTTTAATTATCTTTTTAAAAATGTGTGATTCTATTATTTTGACTATGTTTGCAAATGTCTCATTTTCAACATAGGGTAGAATACCATTATGCCTGTAATTGTAGCATTATCATTTTACACTGAACTATTACAAAGCATTTCCTTAAAAACACTGACCATGGGCATATTAAACTGACTCTCTTGCCTCCAGGCTCAGTATAGTTTATAGTTTATATCCAGAGGCTGTCTGAGATATTCATGGGTGGGTAAATTTGGAACCTGTCTGGTACAAGCAATTGTCTTTGTAAGAGTTGTGAATATGAACATCTTTCAATCTCAGTAGAAGGGCGAAGGCATTGCTTGTCTAGCAGGGCTGTGTCTGCAAGGGGATGCCCACAATAATTGGGGAAATGCTCTGCTCTGTTGTGAGAGGGTCATCCCTGCCGAAGGACATGGGTCCTCCAATATACTTCACTTTGACTCACCTCCCACTCATCTGCTCCTTCAGACTTCAATCGAATTTCATATTCCATTGTAAACCAACCAGTTTTCACATCAGTTATGTTGGGTGGGGACCATTTTATCCACAGATACGTCTTCTTATCTTTCAGCTGTTTCACTTCTAAAGTCAGGTTCCGAGGAGGCTCTGGCTCAACTGTGGATACAAAAGACATCTTTAGTTTCCCTCATGGCTTAAAGCTTCTCTTGGGCCCTACTGTTGTCTGTCATGGCTTATATTTCTGTCCGTCCACTTTCTCTACTGCACTGAATCCTCAGAGGACATAATAAATTCCTTCTTATTCTTGACATGTGATCAGTCACGTTTGAACTTGAAGATGGGGTTTGAAAAGTAACACTCCCCCCCCCAAAAAAAAAGCAACTGAGATTTTGCTTTGGCTATATTCTCCACTTTCTTTCGGCCAGGTTCATATGCATGTTCATATTTTTCCCCTAACAGCAATGTCCATGCGATAATAACTGGGATGGGAGTTACAAGGAGATGATTGGGAAAGACATTTGGAATAGTTAATTTCCCTGAGTTGGGAGCAATCATTTCTTCGAAAGCCTGCACATCTTTCTGTGCATCACCCACTCATATTTATAACTTTGCAGGTAACAAGTTTATGGATTTTTTTTTTTTTTTTGGATTTGGATTTTCGAGACAGGATTTCTCCGTAGCTTTTGGTTCCTGTCCTGGAACTAGCTTTTGTAGACCAGGCTGGCCTCGAACTCACAGAGATCCACCTGCCTCTGCCTCCTGAGTGCTGGGATTAAAAGCGTGCCCCACCACCGCCCGGCTCAAGTTTACGGATTTTTGCCTTCAGTTCATCAATTATATTTTACACTCAGAGTATACATCACTCTCTGTGGAGAGCAGACTTTTTCCTGACTGATAGTAAATGGCTAACAAGTGCCTAACTTGACATTTCGGAGAGTGTTCTCTTGAGTAACCCTCAAGCAGCTTATTGTCCCATTTATTCAGTCCCCAAATGTATACTGAATTCCCACTAGCAAAAGCTTGTCATTTCTTGAATGCATACTACATGTCATGAATTAAAACAATACTCTAACAATGAATCATCATTTAACCTCTTCCCCAAATGTCATGAACCTGTATTACTGGGCCCCTTTGTCAGGAGAGAAATGAAAAGAGGAACAATTACTGGTCCAAAGTCACATATTCAGTAATGCATGTTGTTTGAAACTTAGAAGCAACTTTTATTTTGAAACAATTTTTAAACAGTGTTTTCCCTGTAGGTTGCAGCAAGAATTAGCTAATGTGTATGCAACATTCTAAATGAACTAATGCCATGAATTAGACAGCTTAATATAATTTTAAGATGATGGTTTTTGTTATATGTATTTTACTACAATTAAAAATAATCAAAGGAGGCACTTACTCTCAGATTTTTCCAATGATGGGCCTTGGAACTACCATCCTAAGAGTGAAACACCTAGTGGGCTGTAAGTGCTCAGCTGAAGATGCAACAGCACCTGCATCAAATCCCTCTCCCCAGGGCTCTTGAAATAGCACAGAAGTGGGGGCAGGAAGAATGCAAGAGCTGGAAGATGGGGAAGTGTGCTATGAAAGGCTGTCTTTTGGCAAGACTTGGCTGCTGCACACATGAAACCACAGCTACTGTGACTTCCTATGAAGGATCTGGAGGAGATCAAATAAGTTCAAACTTCAAGCATGAAGGGGGAGGGGCCCCTGAGGCCCAATCCCTAGCTGAGGAGCGACTGGCCATTGGTGGAGGCTGGAGGAGCAAAAAGTCACTTTTCTTTGGGGGGTGTGGCTATAGCATGTTGCCCATGCCCCATTGGATGACCCCATATGCCCAGTACTAATTGGACTCTGTGTGTTATTAAAAATGTAACAACAAGGTAAGCAAAGATGAGGACGTGAAGTTGGGAGGGAGACGTGTGGCTACTGAAGTGGTTTGGCCCGCTTTCTATTGTTGAGTGGTATTGCTTCCATGGGAAAGGCTTGAGTAATTTCAATCCTTATTAGCTACTTCATAAATTATTATTAAACATCATTCTCCTTGTCCTATATATTCCTCTGGGAGTCTATTTATTGTCTGTGCTAACCATAAAGGCCATTACAGCTGTGTCCAATTGCCCCACTACATAACGCTGATCATGCAAAGCAAGAAATTATCTCAAATTGACAGCTCTACTTTGTGGATGCTTTCTCCAGACAGTATAGAAGTGACCAGGCCTTTGACCAGTTGCTACCTACTTCCTGTTGTTATTACTATTTTTATTAATTTTGGGGGAATACTTGAAACTAGAGCTTTTTTATTTATACCAGGCAGTGTCCTGCCATGAACCCATACCCCCATATTTTGAGTTGTCTAAAAATAACTCAAATTATAGAGAAGCAGATACACTACTGTGGAGAGCTCAGGTTCAGGCAGAGTATTTGGGATGATTCTGGTGAATTCTGAACCAGAAGATCCTTTTAAAGTCTTTCATTTCTGAAGAGTATCCTGTCTTCCACAAGGAGAAAGAGAAGACATTTGGAGCTCTTAGTTCAGCTCCATGGGAGAGTACTTGCCCTCATACCCATCTCTGGGTTTCATTTCCAGCACACCCCCAGCAAAAAGAAAACAAATTTGAGTTGGCTATTAAAGAAGGCAACATGGTTGAAGGGAAAGGGCCAGGGGAGCTATTCATAAAGGAGGCGTACAGACACTTACACTGGATATAAGGCACTAGGATTAGAGTTGAGGGAAAATAAGAGAACACAAAGATCCCAAGTACTAACCTTGCTGTCAAGAGTCAATACTGTTGATGTGAAATGCTCCCTCAACAAAGATGCTATAAGTTCTTGCACCTTTCTTATCTAGGATTCATCCATAAGCCGGAAAGACTCAAGCTGAGTTTGACTTTTGATATACCATACCATGCCATGCCATGCCATGCCATGCCATGCCATACCATACCCATCCATACCATAACAGTAACATATTCCTCACCACTTCCCCCTTACCTATGTAAGTCACATCCACATAAAGTGGGTCTGATGCACTGCTTCCCATTTCGTTGGTAGCATTTACCGTGATGACGTATATTTTCCATATGGAAGTATACTGCTTGCTAAAGAAACAGGAGTTGGGGCCACTGGTTTTGTAGTCTGGACATTCATGGGTAGTTTTCTCTCTGCAACAAGTAACGCATTAAGAGTGAATAAGAGAACAAGAGTCTCGTTTTTGTTCTTAAAAGATGACTATTACTGGATTTGGAGGATAAGGCGCTCAAAGTACAAGAATAAAGCAGAAAAATGTAGCTTTGTGCTCTACGCAGACCAATTGGGAGGAAGGGAAAGAAGTGTTTTGTAAGAACAGGTAGAAAGACGGGTTTAGCATCTCAGTTCTCTGCTGCTCAGTCACCCTTCTTTCCTGTGGGTGTCCCTATGAACCTTGTGAATGGTCCTTCTGAGTTACCAGTGACCAAGGCACACTCACAGCAATGGTACTCCTCTTGGTCAACTTGGGCAGTTGGAACTTTTGTTAGCACACATACATATTATGGGATTATCCATATTGCAGCTCTAGTCACACAAGCCTGTCGAGCTCCATTTAGATAAGAGGATTTAGGAGGAAACACACTGACATCAGACTACGTTAGATGGTGTCAAGCGGGCAACAGAGTGAAGTGTCTTGAGATCTGTCAGTCTTGCAGGGCTCACTAAGTTGCTCACATTTTAACAGCCTCGACTCCATTCGTACCACACAGGTTTTGGAGGCTGCTCCAGCTCTGAGTTCTTTAAGTATCCATGCCTCTTTGGATCCCACACAGAAGGCCAGCTTTGTGCACAAGCAGTCCTAGGAAACTGGCAATGGCTGTCTCTGTCAGTAATATTTTATTTTTAGGTCCAAGATACAGAAGTGTACCTTTTGCTAAACTAACATTTCTATAGCTCATTTAAGGTTTATAGGAGAGTCTCATTGTGAGTTCATCAGAATTATCATCTAGAGATGATCTGATTTTGCCCTCCTGGCATTGTTAAATTTAACTATGCCTTTCAGGAGACCTTGAATTTTATTGTTTTGCTGTGTTTGAAATAGGGGTTTTCTATGTACAGCTCAGGCTGACTTTGAACTTGTCATCTTTCTGCATCAGCATCCAGAATGCTGGGATTACAGATGTGTGTTATCATGATTTATAGCATTTAGATCAGCAACTTACTTAAAAAAAAACCAAACAACCTCAAGTTCTTTTCCTTAAATGTTGTTTATTCTCTTGGGCATGAAACGCATTTGAAAACCTAATGTACCAAGGCTGCCAAAGATCACACAGCTTATATAATTCTGTTATGTTGTAAAAGTAGTGTATTAACTAAAAAAAATAACCCAAAACACAAACAAACAAAAACCCTCCAAATTTCATGTGGTTTATGGATGAGCAGCTAAGTTTAGCCAATCTATAGGAATGATGACTTGGTCTGTATTCTAAGTTTGGGACAGACATTTGGAAACATGGCTAATATATATTATAATAGCATAATATTATAATGCTATTGGTCAATGTGCATTTGAAGACTGAGTTTGAAAAAAACTTTTAGAGAACAAGATGGGCCAGAGACATTAGATTCCTTTCCTGGCGGTATGAACTGTATTGATATAAATCCAGGAAAGCATGGTATTTATAATAAGAACTAATGTAACTAGGGCCCGGAGTGTGAGCACTCTGGTGGAGTTTCATGAGATAGAAGAGAGCGTTTTACCCTTCTTTGCTGTAAGTCAGCGAGTAGTTGGTAGGAAGTCCTCCATCTGTCCCGGGATTCCACCAGCAGGTGAATGTTTCCTTGTCGGGAGACCGGCATTTGTGGATCTCAGGTTTTCCAGGTGGTGACTGTCCTAAAAGAAAACCAGCCACAAGCCATTCGAGTTAATACTGCGGTCCATTCAACAGCTTAACTGAGCTGCTAGTAACAGAGACAGATTATTGGCACCCTCGATGTGAGGAGGTCGTGGTGCATTGTTCAGAAAGACCACTGCATCAGTGGCCAGCTGTGACAAACATTTCACTGCAGAGTGAGTCTGAGGGAAGAGAGATGGGTGCATATGGAGACTATGGAGCTAGCCCTTCTCACGGAGCCTATGTAGCATTAGGATTGCCATCAGAAGCATTCTTTCCCAGAGACAGTGACCTGAGTGCACACAGTCAGTGCACTGCTCAGGAATCTGCCCTTTTCCGGCATCCTCGCAGCACTAACTGTACCTCCCTCTTCTTCTGCATTACTTATGGTCTTTGTCTGGGCATTCCGGGCTACTTCCTCTCCCCTTTGTTTTCTCCTTCTGTGCTTTCTCCTTTATCTTGATTGTGCACAGTCTTGGCCTAGTGATTTAGTTTATCATATATATATATTATATATTATTATATATTCTTTGAAACTTTTATATATACATACAAGGTATCTTGAATATATTCATTCTTTCCCCTTCTCTCCCTAACTCTTCCTAGCTCTAACTCTAGCCCTTATCCCTACAAACTCTCACTCTCTCTCTTTCTCTAACACACACACACACACACACACACACACACACACACACACACACACACACAGAGTCGGATCTATACTTTTTATAAACGTATGAGTGTAAGGCTACCCACTGGAGTTTTGTTGCCATACCAGGTGGTATACACTTAAGGGAAATTGACCCATTGTATCCCTCAGAAGCTGTCAGCTGTCGGTAGTGCTTCATTTAGGGATGGGGACTCAGGAGCCCTTCCCTTCTCCGTGTTGGACTGCTGACTGGCTTGATCTTGTGCCTGCCATCTGCACACAGCCTTAGCTGCTGTGAAGTTATGAGTATAGTGGTCCTTACAGGTCCAGAACTGTTTCCCTTCAGTCTTCCTTGACTTCTGGTTTTCACAGTCTTTCCATCCCCTCCCCCAAAATGGTCCTTAAACTGTGTGTGTATGTGTGTGTGTGTGCGTGCACGTGCGTGTGCATATGTCTCTGTGTGTGTGTGCATGTGTGTCTGTGAATGTGTGTGTGTGTGTGTGTGTGTGCACGCGTGTGTGCGTGCATGTGTAGGTGTAATACCTGTGGCTGAGCACTCGACAGACTAATGGTCCACCTTCCCTATCTCCTAATTCTTCTTATTTTTATTTTCTGAATCTTGGTTTTTAGTCGCTTTTTGAATTCACACCCCACCTCTTTCTTGGACTCCCCCCATTTTGGTTCTTTCTATGGGTAGGTGACCTCAAACTTCCTTGCAGTTCTGTGGATCTTCAGGAATCGGGTAGTAGGGTAAGAGGTAGTAGAGCAAGGGGTAGTAGAGCGGGTGGTCCCCCTCTAAGTGGAGAGCGACCATGGTTAGATAAGGCACATCACCACTGTCAGCGCCAGAAGTGGGAAGATCTGCAGGAGGTGATGTGGCCGAGGGGATGAGAGTTTTCACCAGCTTAATCTCCAAAGCTCTTGGCAAGCTGGTCTCCAACTCTCTTGCTTGGCTGTTATGTTGAAAGAGGAACAGTATAACCTTGGGAATTTGCCATGATGCTGTTGGTTTGGGAGGCCAACCATAACTCACATTATATCTACTTTTCCTATCTTTTGCCCTACATGAAGATTTAATGCTAAATTCAGGAGTAGAAAGATTTTTCTTTCAGAGGTTGGCGTTAGTAGCTTAGGGGTCTTTTCTATATTTCCCCATATTTATTCAATCTTTCAGATAGGCCCTTAGGACAGAACGTTATTTAGTTCAGGAGAGCAGGTCGTGAAGATCATGGCAAAGGGATCATGGGTGAGTAAAGGGGTCTGTATACAATCTATTCAGGGAGGGGAATTTAATGGGTGTTCTAGCGTGGTGAATTGGATGGGGTCATGGAAAGAAGGCTGGCCCGTCAGTGGTGACAGAGTGTCACAGTAGTTCACAGAATTGCTGAAAAGAATCTGTGTGAGCTTTGTGTGTCTATCAGTTTGGAGGACTGCCTAGTGATGTTGGGAATCATTGCAAAAATACAAGCTTTCTTTTTCTTGTTCGTTTCTGTCATGCGTGAGGAGAAACATGTAATGTAGAGAGAAATATTCATTTAACAAAACTTCCAAACTATCAGGGCATGGTGGTGCCTGTCATTAATCCCAGTACTCAGAATCAGAAGCAGGTGGATTTCTGAGTTTGAGGCCAGCCTGCTCTACAAAGAGAGCTCTAGGATAGCCAGGGCTATACAGAGAACTCCTATCTTGAAGAAAAAAAACAAGCCAATCAGACACCAAACGCTAAACAAACAAGCAAAAAGAACCAACCCCTACTGCTGCCAGTCTTCAAACTGTGGCTCAATAATGGGTCTACTTGAAGCTGGTCAGGGCCGCTGCTGATTATTTGAGTACTCAAGAGTTTCTTTTATGGGTTAGCAAGATTTTTTGCTTCTCTTCCCCTCTTTCTCTTTCTCCCCCTCTCTCCCCTCCCTCTGAGCTTATCTCTTCTGCATTTTTACTTGCTATTAATAACACTTTTAGGAAACGTGAGGGAAAAAGGCAAGGTTGTGAAATTACAACCACTCAAATGTTATTTTCATGCCCCTTGAGGAAACACACTTCATGGATTATCTCAGTGAACAGACACAAGGGATATTATACAAATCCAGGAAATGCAGAGACTTGCTTGCATAAACTCCACATCAGAAATAAGCATACCCATAATGCATTGCACCCATAGGAAATATATCCAGAGAGAAATACATGCATGCAAGGGCATGATGACGGCAACATACACTGGTATGCATAACACAACAATAAACATATATGTAAATACACAGAGGTTTCTCATTGCCGTCCATACACACATACATACACAGATAGAGAAGAATGTGTGATTAGGTACTATACGCAGCCGGTGTATACACAGGTGCATTCAGAAGCACTCCCCCCAGAAGTACATAGAAGTAGATGTGGAAACCTATGCAGACAATCACACACCTTCCTGTTAGCTGTGGCTTTTGTTTCTCTTATTAGCACACATAGGTCATGCCTGTTTTCCACCTTGTCATGCAATCGCTTGAGAGCTCTTATAGTTTTTCAAAGGTCTTTTCACATACATGATTTCATCTGAAGCTTGTGAGCTATCCCTATCCTCCCTCGGAGAAATCAAAAACAGAGAGTCAGACAAGTGGTTCAAATCACACAGCTAGTAACTATCCCCTGGATGGGAACTTAGTTCCCATCATCCCCCGCGCCCTTTCAGTCCACTCTCAAACGGGGAATGGGAGAGAGGAAGCACACTGATGAGATTTTGCATTAATTTTAACACAGAAGTGTGGCAAACAATTTAGTAGCAGCAAATGACACGAACATTTTCATTTCTCATAACTGCATTGCAACAGATGGAGACAGCCTCTTCACCCCCTACCCCGTCCCCTGCAACCCCTAAGCACTCCAGGCAAGGAGAGTGAGAACTGAGTCTCTTACCATTCAGAAGGCTGATGTTGAGAAAAAGTAGGATGAAAGCAAGGACAGATGTCATGTTTTCCTGCATGTTGGCCCCTGTTTCTTGCTACAGGCAATGTACCAGAGGCTCCCTGGAAGAGAAAACATCGGGTAGCATTTGTTAAATTACAGCCCGTCAGGCACACTTTACTCTGGGTGCTGGCAACCGATTCTTGTTCCTTGCTTGATGTGACTGACAAAAACAGCGGGAAGAGAGCGTAGGAAAATGTAACATGGGATGGCTGGGTTAAGAAGCACGGATTCCCACATGCTGGCAAGGATTTCACCACAAGAGGGCGTCAGACAACAATGCAGGGAGCTCACAGGAAATCAAAACTGTGGGCTTTGGATTTGTTTTGGTTTTGTTTTCTGCACTCACCGAAGTTGTTTTGTTTCCACGCCATCGTTCAGGTAGCTAATAGCACATCACCCATTTATGTAACATAGAGTGTGTGCCCTGCAAAAGAGCCATTTAAGGAGGATTCTGGCTCCAGTATTCTGAGATACTTCCAGACTGGGAGTGGGAGGGTCCGGGTGGAGGTTCCTGTCTAAGGTCAGGCTGAGAGGGTTCTGGAAGTCTCCAGGGATATGGCTATGGCTATGAAGCAAACCTCATAATGAATTTTAGTGACCCTCCATGTGGCTTCTTTCTCCCTTCGGTAAAGCCCCATAAGAGACAACGAACTTCAGTAATAATTCAAATCTCTTGGGTTCAGAGTAATAAGTCAATTTTGAACCTGCGGGGCTTGAGAGTTTTGAGCAATTTATTACTAATATTATTATTTTTACTCTTGGAACAGTTTTCAAAGCCTCTTATGTTCCTTCCTTAAAACATTCTTATGAACTTTTTTTTTTTAAAAAAAGCTCATTAGTCTTATTAGACTTCAAACATCACTCAGAAAACAATAGATTTGATGAGCTACGTGTAAATTTCCAGAAACACATGGTTTTAATCTCCCTTTAAATTTTATTTTTAAATCAAGGGAAGAATATCTAGGAGGCAAAGTTGCCCGTTTTAGGCCATGTGAAGAATTGCTTGATGGGTCCCTAAGGGAGCAGAATTTGTCTATTCCTCCTGGTCTGGAAAGCCCTCTATCTGTCAAACATGTATTACTCAATGGGCAACTTTTTGGAGGTGTTTTTACATCTGCCACTACTGCTTGTGGCTTCACTCAGAAATAGAAATTTTAGTGACACTGGAAGGTTGGGGTGTGCTGGCACCAACAAGTTGTGCCCTTACATTGAAGACTGTGGTTCAAAGCTTTGCTGACCCATTAATGGGCCCAGCAAAGTGCTGGAGACCTTTCGCTTGCTTTGCCTGGATCCCTTACCCTCCCTAAGTAGCACATTTTCAATCCAACCTGCTTCTTTTACTTTCTTGGGGATCGTTTCTTTATACCAAGTAGTCAAAGGCTTCTAATGGGTTTTAAATGATGCCCTTATAGTCCAGGCGCTGGACTGAGCCATCACTTGAATTTAATTTTGTTCTTTCTGTGGCCCCGTAAGTAGATGCTGTTTACCACCTCCCACCCCATTTTAACAGATATGGAAAATGAATACAGAGAAACAGCTTAATAGGCGGTCAATCACGTGCTAACAGGAGAGCAATCTGGCAAATCCCAGAGCATCTGAGAATCATGCTTTGGGGGATATCTGTGATAAATAGCAAAAGTGTCCCTTTCTACAGGACAGATGCATGAGGCAGGCACAATTGATCTGTGGAGAGAAGTGGGCCAAGACCTGGGTGAGCTGGAGCCGGAGAGCCAGAGCAGACACGAGGCTATCTCAGCGCAGCTCTCCTTCTGGTTAATGGTCTCCAGTATTGATCTGTCTCAGCTCCCTGTGCATCCTCATCCTGGCACTCAGCCTGGCTTGGAAGTGGGTATTCTTCTCCCTGGCTGAAGATGTTCTATAATATCCCTTTATGGAGACTGCCTTACTCCTATGGGCATCACATAAACAACACCTGAGATCACCATGCTGTAAATCACCCATCGTGGGTGAGGCCAGAGAGCTCTGCCAGGCAGGGCTTCCCGCCTGTTTTGCAAATGAAACACTAGGACAGGAATCAGGGTAAGCAGAGGCGGGAGTGGATTTAGTTATTTGTTTGTTTCTCCTCTTCTGCTGGTGCAGGATCCAAGAAACTTCTAATTTAAGTTCCTCCTTTTAAAAATGCAACCAGAAACCCCTCTAGGCACATGTAAAACAACTTTCTCTTACGATTTCCTGAGACATGCTGGAATCTGGTCACACCCATGCATTTTCCAGTGCCCTAAGTCTCCTGTGCCAAGAAATTAGACATGTTCCTAACGTGTTTTGAACAATGACTTCCCAACTCATTCTCCGTCTTACACTCTCTGGCAAAGTAGCCGAGGTGTGGCAAGCGAACTTTCAGAGGGAAATAGAATGGCAAATGTTCACCCTAAGTGGGGCGATGCTAAATGTTAACCCTGGTCAATGGTATGCAGTACTTTTGTCCTACCATAGAGCATGCCTCCTGCTGATCCACACACCAGTCTTATCTCTCTCTGAATCAGTTCTCCACAGCAAGAAGAGCCTGGCCAAAAGCAGACATGACCTTCGTTATTAACCACGGCATTTGGGGCTGGGATACTGAGGCCTCAACTTTATATTTGGATCCAAATATTTGGAATCTAGTTAGCAAAAAGTCAGCCTTGCATACTCAGCCCAAGGATAGTCGTCTGAGGATCCACACAGCACGAACTCTCTAAACGTGACTGTGGTGGAGAAGTAAAAAGTCTCCACCTATGAGCAGGTTTACGCTGAGTTCCACACTTCCATCTGCTTTGTCCATGACTGTCTGATTTGGCTTCTTCTGATTCCTCAGACTCTGCCATCTCCAGGCCCTTTTTATCAAGTTGTTCAGACTCTCCCTGTGCTCCATCCTGCTGTGGCACAAATGACAAGGGGACTCCTTAACCCTCTTCTCCCTAGGGCTGCTTTTGTCTCAACTATGGTCTTATTTAGACCTACTCTTTCTAAAAGCCCCTCCTTATTACTGTTTTCTAGCAAGCCAACCCTCTTCTTCAGAGGCTAACAGCTGAGGTTGCAACTTAATGGTTTGTAATCTATGCAGTTCATTCTTTTGGGAAACTAGAATGACTCCCTAGATGGAAAACCAGTCAGGGTCCCATGGTCTTGGTTAGTGCTCCCACCCACATCATGGAAGGCATACCACGGGAGAGGAGGCAGTATGACCATGCAGTGTTAAATAGGCCAGATATGAACTCTCAACGAGATCACCGCCTAATGTTGCCACTCATCTTTTCTCCTTAGACTTCCTCTGGGTGCACTGGTCCTCCTACTCTTTGAGATAATCAATCACAAGTCCAAGGCCTCAGCTCTCCCATGGCGTTGGGGATTAGGAGATTCCTACAGTTTCTGCTCTATCCTGCTTTTCTGTCCCTGTGGTCTCAGCTTTCTTAACCAGAGAAATGAACCCAACAGGCTAGGTAGAGACTGTGAGGATTTTCTTTGCTTTTATAAACCCAATTCTTGATGGACAAGCCAATTCAAGACTTACTTTAAGGAGTCAACGTCAAATATTCTGCAGTACACTATCACCAAGTGAACAGATATGTGCTACCATCTGAGTTGCAAAAGAACACAGAAAGTAGCCTGGAAATAGAACTGGTAGCTCCTCCTACTCTCTACCTATGCCAGCAGGACTTTCCTGGCTTCTATCATATGATTATTCCCTCCAACTTTATATAATAGAATTGTACCACAAGCATCGTAGGGGTGTGTGTGTCTGACTCCTGTCATCCCACGTTGTTGCATGATGTATTTTGGTTGTTGTGTGTAGTTTCACATCATTTATTTTCATTTCATTTCATTGAATGAAATACTATAATTTCTTCATTAATTCTACAGTTGGACGTTTGGGTTGTTTCTGTTTTTTGGGAGGCAAACTTTAAAAATTCTTTGAGAATTTCCTATATGCATATAGTGCATTTTGATCAAATGTGCCTCCCCTCTTTTCCCTCCAATTTATCACCTATCCCCTCTGCCACGATTCCTCCTGAATTTCATGTGACTTTTTTTTTTTTTAAAAACTCCCAGAGTCCACTTAGTGCTGGCTGTACATGCATGCATGGTTTTGCGACAACCTGCAGGAGCACAGTCAGTTTTCTTCAGGGGTCACTAGCACTCTCTCATCCAACAGCCAGGGCCATTACTATAAATAAGGAAGCCTTGCGGACATCATAATGCTCACCCACATTGGTTCTTCACTCTAAGTAGTTAGTCTGCTACCCATCATCCTTTCTGCCCATCAACCTAATTTACCTTTCTAATATCTTTCTTGCCTACCCCCATGAAAGAAAACCTTCATGTTTCACAAACTAATACAAATACACCCATCTATTAAGGTATTAAGCGACATTAGGCCTTTCGTTTGGACTCCTCTGCTCATTGGATCACCTCACCTGCCCTAGGTACTAAATGATCAGAGGCCAAAATAACTGGGAAAGAATCCCATGTATGCCCTTTGATTCTAGGTTTGACTTTTCTTTCCAAAACAGAATGCTAGTATTTAATTTGGAAAACAAGAGACATAATCTTCTCAGGATGGGGAGAAGAACAGAAGGGATTAGCTGTTTCATACCACGATGAAGATTAACATTGTTGTTATGTATGCTGGATTTCGGAGCAATAGCCCCAGCTAGGAATAAGTACTCAGCATTTGGTTTATTAAAATGAATCCAGTGCAAAGAGACACACATCATATTGTGGTAATTTATCAGCAATTAGATTTCCCAGATCTGTCTCCCTGTGCAGGGCCTACCCAAGTCAACTCCCATTTGCGCATGTGTTTGGTGATTTAGCTAGATCACCACGGCGGTGCTAAGGCTATTAGGAACAGTTAGGGAGACGTTTTCAAACACCCACGTCTGACTACTATGCCCTGCTTTCTTCCTGCTTCAAAAACCCAAGAGGTGCCTGAGAAGCCGATGTGCTGCATGCATGCATGTGCTATGCAAGCAGACAGCTGCATCCTATAAGAAACAGTCAAATTAGCAGGAGGGCGTGGCCCAAATGCAAGCTGGTTCAGGTTGGTACTGTGTAAGGG